CTTACGTGTTTTTGTCTCTGTAAGATTACCTTCTCTAAGCACAAGACCTTGGTCTTAATCACCAGCATTTTACTGAATGTACCACAAACTGGGCTAAGGGCTTTACCCACCTGCATTGTTACACCTCACAATGACCCCACCTGGCCAGTATTGTTTCTTATCTCATAGAGAAGAAAACTGAGGTCCAGAGAGGTTAAGTCACCACCCCAAGCTGCACAGCTGGCCAGCGGTAGAGTCTGTTTGCTCTCCTCTACATGTCCAAGTCAGCTTAGAATCCCTGGGCCTTGCTCCATAGCTTTTCAGCAAATGTTTGCTGTATTCATTTAAAAAAAAAAAAAAAAGTTGAGGGGCGCCTGGGTGGTTCAGTCGGTTAATCGTCCGGCTTCGGCTCAGGTCATGATCTCACGGTCCGTGAGTTCGAGCCCCGTGTCGGGCTCTGGGCTGACGGCTCAGAGCCTGGAGCCTGTTTCGGATTCTGTGTCTCCCTCTCTCTCTGCTCTTCCCCTGTTCATGCTCTGTCTCTCTCTGTCTCAAAAATAAATAAACGTTAAAAGAAAAAAAGAAAAAAAAGAAAAAAAATACAAAGAGAAAAAAAGAATAAAAAAAAAAGTTGAGTAGATCAGGGCTCAGTAGATCAGGGCTCAGGATCAGCTCCGGGCTTTGAAGGAAGGCAGAATTGAGTTAGGCTGAGAGCAGAAAGCAAACACTCCGGATCTAGTTAGAACAAGTACAATGTGTGTGCATTGAAGCGAGAGAAAAGAGAGACACAGACATACGCTCACAGGCACTGAATCGGCCCCTGGGCCGATCCGTGCGGAGGAAGCCAGCAGGTAAGTTGAGAAAGGCAGGTTGAGGCCAGGTGGGTAGCAGCCTTGAATGGCCAGCGAAGGCGGCTGAACTTGTTAGAACATCAAGGACACGGCCGTCCCTGAGATCACAGAGGCCCTCCTTGACTCCTGGACCCGAGGAGACACCTGGCAGCATCTGACGTCTAACCTCACACCCATCGTCCAGCCCAAACACCCCGGACCCAGGGGCGCCTCCCCAGGGCACACCTGGCGGGCTGAGGGGGTGGCCCCAGGAGGACACGGTGGACGGGGGAGGCGCTGAAGGTCAGCGAGGCGGACACACGCCCCTAATGGAGGTAGCGGAGCAGTGCCGCTGGGCACAGACACAGGCAAACACGTTTGAGCAAATTGGAACGCCATAAAAGTCTATTACAGCAAATCAAACAGCAGTCAGCATGACAGCCATTAGCCTGAAATGAATACACGGGGACTTAATGAGGTCTGTCGAGGCTGGCTTGGTGAATTAAGTTGCCAATTCTAGCAGGATTTCCCTTTTCTTTACGGACTTGAAAGCATCCACGCTGCCTCGTTAGGGCTTCGACAAGTGAATTGCAGGGCCTTTCACCCTGATAAAATGGATAATTACATGTAGAACAGCTTAGTGAGGGGAGAGGGCTGGGCAGGAGGGGAACCAAGAACAAACAAATCCAAACACACCTGTCTGGCTTCTCCCGAGCAGGGGCGGGGCCAGGGCAGGGGAGGGGGGCTTCAGGAGGGATGAGGGGCAGGGCTGGGGGGCCGGGGACAAATGAGCTCCCAGAGAAAGCGGCAGTAACTGGCCTCGATCCGGCCTCCCACCGGCCCCCATTCCAGGCCTGAGGACGTGGGTCCCCGTGGGTCATGCCTCCAGGCAGCTGAGGATGGGCTGCCCTGGCACCTTCCAAGCTCAGGTGGGGAGGGCCACCGATGTCATCCTCCAGCGCTTGCTGTCGCCCGGGGGACTTTGTTAAAAATGCAGAGCCTGGGCCCCCTCTTTCCAAACAACACGTTCAGAATTGCAGGGGTGCGGGACTATGCATCCTAACCAGTCCCCCAGGAACTTCTGGCGCGGCCTTCCGATTCATCCCTTCTCTAACACTCAGTACTACCGAATGTTCTACTACTACTGAGACAGTTCTCCCGTTTCTGTTTGCATCACTCCAGGGCTGGGGAGCTCAGTACATCTTTGGTAGGGTTGTGGGGGGGTGACTGGGCAGTAGGTTTCAATATTAGAAACTTCTTTCTTCTGTAAACTTAGAATTTGCCTCCCTATATATGCTCCTGACACCCATCCTTGTGTTCTGGGCACAAGAGACCCCCAAATTATCAGTGCTCCTAGGGGTGGGGACAGCGAATGTTGCGAAGGGGAGGGATGGGGTGCAGGTAGCTGGTGTGACCACAAGAGGAGCTCAGTAGATGGAAACAGCCCCTGGAGCTCGTCTGCCGTCCCTTAAGGGATGATGAAGTATGGAAGGAGAAGTAGGAGCTTGTCCCGCTGGGATTCATCCTCAGACCACGGGATATCGGCCCAAGAAGGGATCTGGTCCACCTTCCCAGTTTAACAGCTGTTGGCGTCGAAGCCAGCAGGGGCAGCAATAGGCCCAGAGTGTCACCCAGCCGGTCGCTGGCACAGCCAGGACAAAACCCCAGGTGTCTCGACGTCTTCCACGGTACAACAGAGGGGCTCCGTGGCTCGCCTTGGCCAAATTCAGCTGGAAACCCACCTCCTCCAGGAAGCCTGCTGAGATTTCTCTGACCACTCTGGCAGCCCCCCAGCACTGACACCTCACGGGGTCTCCAGTGCCCGCCTCTGTCTCCGACTTGCATTTTCATCCCGTTCACATCTGTGGGGCCTCTGCCACATATCACACTTCTCAAGGACAGGGGCCTGAGGTTGCCAGGGTGACCTCAAGACCAGCGGGAGAGCCCCGCTCAATTCTGGGCCGGGAGCCAGCGGGCCCTTTGCTGGTACCCCAGCTGGGGCCTGAGTCAGGCAGCTAGCTCGGGTGACCACACCGGGCCAGGGCTGGTCAGTGCCAAGCCACCTCGGGTCAGGAGTGGCCAGGCCTCCATCCAGCTGACACCACACCCGACCAGCCACACGGAGCAGCCCTAACTAGGGCATCGAGTATTGAGCCAAGCAGGTGACCTGCGGATGTTTACACATGAGCAAGTAAACCCCACAGGACCTCCTCCAAGAACTGTGTGTCCTTGTAGCTGGCCCCTCTCAACCCACCCTCTCTTCATCAGATGGGCATCGGGCAGGCCACTTTATCCTGTCTGTCCTCTGTTTTTATTAGATAAGGAGGACTACGGCCCAGCGAGTTTAAGTGACTTGCCCAGAGAGGTTAAGTGACGTGCCCGCAGAGACTCGGCAATCTGGAAGCAGAGCGGGGGGCTGGGCCTGGGGTCCCTTGCCTCCAGTTCCGGCTCCTGTCATTGCACATTCCTCTGGCCTCCCAGGTCTCTGTGCAGTGAGAGTCTGGCACAGCACCAAGCCCACGGCAGACACTCAATAAATATTTGTTAAATAGATGAATGACTGAAGAGGCTCTCTCCTTGGAGGCAGAGGCCTTTGGAGAATCCCAGGGGATTCCAGCAGGGCAGCGTTGGAGGTCACATCTCTCCTGGCAAGTGAGGGAAAGGCTGGCCTCAGCCCAAAGGATGGGGAGGAGGGACGTGACCTGTCGTCCCCTTGCGTTGCTGCTGCCCGCTGCCCCCTGTGAGGGAAGGCAGAGGGCAGCCATGCCTGCCAGGATGGCAGCTGAGCAATGGGTCCAAGGCTCATTAACTCCGAGCCGTGCCCTTGGTTTCTGAGCCTGGGCCCAGAGTGCAGGCTGGCACGTAGAGCCCCTTAATTAAATTAGGGAGACTTCCAAATGAGAGGGGGCCAGGAGCCAAGCTGCAGTCCCGGACATGTTGGCCACAGCTCAGGGCACTGTGTCCCCATGCTTGGGACCGCGGGCTCGCCTCCTCCTGTCCTGCCCCATCAGGGGAAGGGCGTGGGAGCCTCTGCTGTGTTCTCACCCACACATTTGTCCTCACTTCCCGCCATCTGGCACAAGCATAGGACAACTGGCTCACAGCTGAGCAAGGAGGGCCAGGAACAGGAACGTGGGGGGCACGAGACGAGGTCTCTTCATCTCTAAGGGTATCTGAGGCTGCCCTCAGAGAATCAGGAGGCTCAAAGTCAAAGCTGTGCGACCTTGGGTAAGTCACTGTTCCACCATGAGCCTCAGTTTTCTCATCCACACACTGAACAGATACTTTCTAAAGACGCTTCTAGGTTCCTGATCCGTGACATAGAATACAAAGGGGCTGGAACTCTAATGCCGTGGTGCCGACCTGCCTGTCTCCAGTGGATTCCATCTCTCAACGTTCCCATGCCAACCCTTTACTGCTGCCGCCCCACCCAGAGCCCCGAGGGCAGGCCTGAGGGACGCCCGGTAGAAGCTCTTTACCCCACCACCTTCAAGGTCTTTGAATTGCTAACTGCCAGCCCAGAAGACTGCCATCAGTCACGGGGAGAGGGACAGTAAGCGACGAGAACCCTAGTACCATCGGGAGCCAGCAGCCAGCTCATTAATGAACCGTTTGTAATGCAATAATTTGTACTTCTCAATTACCAGCAATGGCTTGGTTTTACATGTATGCGCTCATGCAAACACAGAGTACACAGACGACCCAAAGGAGCAGAGGCCCAGGGAGACAACGGGGCTCAAGCATAAGGCTAGGGAAAGAGAGTCCCTTCCTGGAGCCACCTGCTTCCTGTGTCCTGGGGGTGGGGGGACCCGTTCTGGCCACAGCAAGAAAGCCTGGGGTCAGGCCTGCCAACCCAAGTGCCCAAGGCCCGCACTGGCTATGAATGGAAGGAAAGAGGTCACACTGCCCCTCCCATCTCTCGTCCTGTCCCGCGTCCAGCTGGAGCGGTGGGTCTCGTCCAAGGCAGGCCTTCCATCAGACCTAAGGCTACCATCACCCCTTCTCCTTGGCCAGCAGGCGGGTCCCTACCCTCAGAGGTGCTGGCATAGTCAGCAACCTGCCCAGAGCCGGTGCCCCAGCTGAGGCGCGGTCAGAAGTGGAGCGCAAGCTGTCCTTTCCCCAGCTCCAGCCTATTCCCAGGTGGCCCTGGGCCGACCGCATGCACCCCACCCCGTGTCCCTCAAGCGTGACGCTGGGGGCTCCTACCTCAGGGATGCGGACGCTGTAGGGCTGATTGTGAAACGTGGGCGCGTTGTCATTCACGTCCCCGACCTGGATGTTCACCTTCCGCGTGATCACCTGGCAAGAAAAGGGTGGGGATTTACTGTCTATCTGCATAGGCCTCAGCCTCTTTCCACCCAACAGCCGGGGACCCTGCCTCCCAGGGCAGCAGGGGCTGCAGGAGACACTCACCCCCTGGTGGTCGCTGACAGAGAACTCCACTGTGAACTCAGACTTGGTCTGAAAGAGAAGACAGGGAGGGGGAAAAGGCAGAGTTAGAGAGAGGTGCGCTGGGCTCCTGAGTCCTGGGCCCTGGGCTCTAACCCGGGCTACGCTTCTAAATCGCCGTGTGCTCTTGAGCAAGTCACTAGACATCTCTGTGGCCACTTCATCAAATGTAAGGAGAAAACAAGGGTTGGGGTTTTCAAACTCATACCTTAATTTGCTAAGGGCTGCTTGTCACCCGTTCCCGCATCTCTGGAAAATATCCTTTAGGGGAACATTTGCTCGTGGGGGGTAGACTTGTGCATACTATGAAGCGACCGTTCTATGGCTCATTGTCCTTCCTACCCATCCAGTGTTGCCCCTTGTTTGGGGACACCCCTAACTAACCCCATTCCCTGGCCCTGGAAGAAGGACACCATTTAGGCAGGAAAATGCTACTTGAAGGTGAGAATGGGGCCTCAGAGGAAAGCCCCTTAAAGATGAGGAGCCACTCTCCCTCAGTGTCTGCCTCCGCCCCCAGGAAAGGACTAGGGTAGGCTTATGGCCAGGTCATACCTCTCTGTCCAGCGGCTGCCGTAGCCACACCACCCCTGTGTCAGGCTCCACGGCAAAGAAGCGGGAGGCCTCCTCCCCAGACACGCCAAACACCAGGGGGTCGTTGTCCATATCTCGGGCCAGCAACTGGGTCACAGAGGAACCTGGAAGAGCCATGGGAGAGATCAGAGGGCAAAAATGGGAGGTTGGTCCATTGCTCAGTACCTCGCTCAGGTGGCTGAATCCCAGCGGGAGAAGCCACCCAGAAGACCGCCAGCAGGTGATTACTGTAAGAGCCCAGTGCATCTCTGGGCTCTGACTCAGGCTGCCTGCCTCCATCGTGGCCACTCAACACTGTGTATGTGTTTGTAGCCGGGAAGTGTCATTCACCACGTTTTAGGTGTGTAATGAACAACTGTGACCTGTGCCTGTCCCCCCTTTTCTGATTTTAATTTGGAGACCCCCTTCTCCGACTGGCTCAGATGGGGGGCCAGCCCTTCAGTTCTTTTGTTCCAGGATGGGCACATATCTCAGCCTTAGCCAATCAAAGCATTCCATCTCCCTAGTCACACTGATTGGTTCAGGGAGGAGCATGTGACCCCAGCTAGCCAATCAAAGCCAGCCCTGGGATTTGTGCTGGAACCACTGGGAAGGAGGAGCCTTCCTTCCGCTGGGGTTGCTAAATTGGCCCTGCCGGCAGCCATCTTTGGCTTGCCCAGGAAGAGACTGTCTGAGAATGAGGCCAACAAGGAGAAAAACAGAGCCAAATGCTGCACAGAAAAATGGCTCCTGAAAGTTTGAGGGTGTGCAGACAGCTGTGCCTGATATAAGCTGTAACCTCTGGACTTCTTGGCTATATGGGCTAATAAATCTGCCTCCCCCTCTTCTTTTTTGTTTTTTTGTTTGAGTCAGATGAGCTGGATTTCTGCCTTTTGCAAACGGAAGCACCCTTTCTAATTTAGAATATATTACAAAACTTGGCATTCATCCAACAGTGACCAGGTGCTGGCCTTGTGCTAAGTGCTGGAGTACACAGAGGTTAGGAAGATGTGACCCAGCCTCGAAGAACTCCAGGCTAGGACTGGCTTTAGGTGAGGTTTCTGTTCCCAGGAAGAGGACTGAGGCTGTCCATCTTCTCCAGGAATCACAGCCCTGGCCAGAAGCCCCCAGGATGCCTGGCCTACAGCGATAGCGTAGGGCATCTTCTCCCGGCGATCACAGCCCTCTCTAGGTAGCCTTCAGTCAGGGTGCGCAGCCCCCCTGGTTTGTCTGGGATGGAGGTGGAACACATACTAAAACCAGGAGGTCCCAGACAACTGGACTGGCTGGCCACCTTAGTTTCAGGTGGTCCTCAAGCCTCCAGGAACTGTGCAAAATGTTGAGAATACGGTATTGCTTTCTGCAGAGAGGATCTATAGCCCGATTCTCAAAGGGGTGGCTAGATTAGAATCATGGCCTTGGGCCAATCACTGCTTTGAAAGCCTCAGTTTCCCCTATAAGATGGAACAGATATGCTTTCTTCCCCAAATACAGATTCTTATGTTTACTGAATAGCTCTGATCATCAAGCTAAGCAAGAAAGGATTGCAAACTCTGGGACTGTCATCTAGAAAAGAACGCTAATGAGCTTTTCTAAAGGACAGTTCTAACATGACAATGACAACTAAGGTTTCTGTGTGCTAACCACATTCTAGACAGTGGGCTAACGGGTTTCCGTGGACTTTCTGATTCGATCCTTACTGCTATTCTCCCCATTTAACACATAAGGTAACAAAGAGTGTTTAAGTAATTAACCATGGCACACAGTAAATGGCAGAGCTGGAATTCAGATCCTAGGCATTCGGGGTCCAGAGCCCATGTTTCTTCCCATGACCCTACACATCTCAACACTTGATATGTGAACTCCAGATGCAGGATTTCTATGAACATGACCCTATCAGACCCTAACCAGAAGCCGAACGCTTGGAAAAGGAAGACACTGGGCAATCACTGGGCTCTTAGGATATACCAGACACAGTGCTAGGCTCATCCACATGGGTTCTCTCATGAAATCCACCACCACCACCCCCAGCAACTCTGTTTAGTAGCCATTATTCTACCCATTTTACAGACTAGGAAGTTGAGGATCAGTGAGGCAAAGTGTCCTCTCCAAGGTCACACAACACAGCAGGATATGGCAGCATCCAAGATAATGGGAGAAGGTGAGAGGTAGGAGGAGGAGGAGGAAGAGGAGGAAAATCATAGAACAGAGTTGGAATGACCTCAGAGACATTTTGGAGAGTCCAGGTCCAACCTTCCCATTTTAAATATGGAGAAGCTGAAGGCATTTAGCTAGTTGCTCAAAGTACAATGGTGGGAAAAAGAGTCAGTCAACTAGAACCCAAGTTTCCAGACTCCCAGTACAGTGCTCTTTCTGGATGAGGAAGGAGGAAGAAGTCATAGATAGACCAAACACCTCACAAGGCATCTATATTGTTCAATGGCAAGCAATTGTTTTATTTTTTTTTTATTTTTTTTTTTGCATTTATTTATTTTTGAGAGACAGAGAAAGAGCACAAGTGGGGGAGAGGCAGAGAAAGAAGGAGACACAGAATCTGAAGCACGTTCCAGGCTCCGAGCTGTCAGCACAGAGCCCGACACTGGTTTTGAACTCACACACCGTGAGATCATGACCTGAGCCGAAGTCGGATGATCAACCGACTGAGCCACCCAGGCGCCCCGCGATTGTTTCATACTAAAATAAATGGGAACGTTTTGGAACACAATCTAACAATTTATTATTTTTTTCGAAGAGAATTTTTTTTTAATGTTTATTTATTTTTGAGAGAGAGAGCATGAGAAGGAGAGAAGCAGAGAGAGGGGGGACAGAGGATCTGAAGCGGGCGCCGTGCTGACAGCAGAGAGCCCAATGTGGGGCTCGAACTCACAAACCGTGAGATTAAGACCGGAGCCGAAGTTGTATGCTCAAACCAACTGAGCCATCCAGGAGCCCCCGTCTAACAATTTATTTTTAAAGACATAACCTAAAGCAATAAAAGAATTTCCAGCCTCCCCCTGACTTCCAGGCATACCCATATCCTTTCCATTACCCTCAAGTGTCCTTTAATGGCAAAGTTTGAGGAACACTGACCTACTTCCCAATTTCTTGGGGAGATTCCCTATGAGGACAGGTCCTGCCCGTCCACTACGAGCCCATGGCAGCCCCCTGGAGTGAACACTTCACTTGCCAACCACCTTCAGGGGCCAGCCCAGGTGGGGAATATGGGACCAAGCTCTCTGGTAGCCGAGGGGATTCTGGAAAAGACCACACTGGCCCTCTAGCCAAGGTCAGATGACTCGGTCTGATATCCCAAATGGCTCTCTCGGGCCTGGTGCTCAGGCCCTTCCAAGAAGGGGGGCACTGGGCAGGACATGGATGGGGCCATCAACTGCTGTCACCCACCCTATAATTTCCCGGACTTTTATCCATTTTCCCCTCAATTATGTGCTGCTCAAAATGGTCCTTTTCGGCTTCCTCGCAGGCTCTTGCCTGCTTACGCCTTCTTTGTGTCCCAGGTAATTGCTAGTGACCTTTTCTAAGTGTACTAATTAAAGGTGCCGATTTAATATTATATTTAAGACAAGACGCCCCGCAATTTTCCAGCTGGGCACATGCTCCCCCGCCCGGGGCTGTTCTGCTACTCTGTAGAAGCTGGGCCTCGCTTTGGCTTCTCCTGGGCACGGGGTTCACTTCTCCAACAGGGAGGCTTCTAGCAACCTCTGCACCATTCACCCGGGAAAGAGGCCAATCTATGGGGCCCAGCCCCAGCCCAATGGCCCTAGAAGCGGCCACTCAGGAGAACCATCCCGGCTATGGGACCATGGGGCACACATCCCACATTCTAAGTTTGTTTCCTGGCAATACACCCTGCGACTCAGGCTTTGGAATACCTGGAGTTTGGCTTTGTTTTGTTGTACAACTGGGATAAAATACATCGTTAACCATTTTAACGCATACCATTCAGTGATATCGGTACATTCACAGTGTGGCCCAACCACCACCACCATTTGCTTCTAGAATATTTTCCTCATCCCCAAGGAAACCCAAACCCACAAAGCAGTCACTCCCCATTTCCTCCCTCCCCCTGCCCTGGCAACCACTAACCCACTGTCTGTCCCTCTGAATTTGCCTGTTCTGGATATTCCATATACATGGAATTACTTGAGATGTAGTCTTTGGGTCTAGCTTCTTTCACTCAGAATAAAGTTTTCAAGGTTCACCCTGTTGTGACACGTATGAGTACATTAATCCCTTTCCATTGCTGAGTAACATTCCATCGTATGGAGATACCACATTTTGCCTATCCGTTCATCCACGGACGGACGTTTGGGTTGTTTCCACCTTTTGGCTATTGTGAATGGCGCTGGTATGAGCAGTTGTGGACAAGTTTTTGTTGGAACACTTGTTCTCAGCGCTTTTTGAATACATACCTAGGAGCAGAATTGCTGGGTCCTGTGGTAATTCTACATTTAACTTATTAAGGACCCACCAATTATCTTCCACAGCAACTGCACCAATGATATGGTGCATCCCACCAGCAAGGGATGAGGCCTGGAGCTCCTTCCAGTGGGAGGAAGGACACTCGGTGATTCACCGGGGCTGGGCGCCTCCTGTACGGTGGAGAGATGGGAACCGGGCAGCGCTCCCTACCCGATGCTACCGATACCCTGCCCACTGGGCCTCGGCACATCCCAATGTCACACATGCCAGCCCGACCTCCAAATGCCAGCCTGGGGACCCTGTGCCTGAGGGTTCTGGCCTTCTGGCCGCAGTGCTCAAAGAATGACTGAGGCAAAGCCTCGGATGAAGAGTTGGCAGATAATGGTTCCAGCTCCCTCACCGCTCGGGGGCTGGTGCAGAGGCCGCATTATACGCCGGCTCTCTGAGCTCCCCATCGGGACTCAAGCTCCAGTGGCCCTCAGAGCGGGGGGCGGGGGGCAGGGTGTCTAGCTGGTCAAGCATCTTCTCCCTGTCTCACCTCCTCGCTCCCCACCTCCACTTCCCAGAATCCCTTCCCAACAAACGGTTTGCACTTCAACCCTCATCACAAGGACTGCTTTGGGGGGAACCCACATAAGATACCCCCTAAAATTGCGGCAACAGCATCATCCAGAAGCCTGTAACA